TCCCTACATTCTTTCATGCATGCACCTGCAAGCTTGCTCTCTTCTTTTCCTTTCCCAACTCTGTAAACGCTGCTGTGAGGGGCTGCCCGGGGGCAGCGGGGCGGTTGGGCTGCACAGCTGAGAGTGCCGCTGCCAACAGAGCTGTGTCCCCCCGGCTGGGCAGCACCATGCCGGGGATCGCTCAGAGCATCAAAACTACCTGTTGGGTGGTTCCGTTGTCCTGTCCCATCCGTGGGAGCCTCCACAAAAGGGCCATGCATTACCAAGCGCATCCTGCTCTTATTTACTTTTCCTGTTTCCTAGAAAACACTATGACAGGCTATTCAGGAAAATGAAAGAAGGTGGTAATTATCGAGGCAAGATTAAGCCATTTTAAGAGGCTTGATATTTAGTAAGGAAGCCCTAATAAGAGATCTTCACGCAGGCGAGGCAAGTTAATTATCCTCATTTGTCAATGAAAAGCATGTGTGTCACTTTGGGCTTAAGATACAATTGGGAAAATTGAAGTTAAATGTAAAAAAAAAAGCCCATGACAAATTCTAAGAGCCAAAGATCAGTCCCAAACGAGCTCAGTGCAGGGAGGAGACCTGAGATGGCAAACCAGCTGCTTGTGGGTGATTCCTTTGTCTTTGAAACAAAGCTTAAAACTCTGCTTTGCAATGCTTGAGCTCTTTGGAGACCGTTTGCATTGCTGCGGCTGAGCCTGCAGCCTGGCGTGAGCAGTGCGGGCATGTCCTGGAACACGCGCTGAGCAGAGAAGATTGTCCGTGTGCTGGCTTTAGTGCTCAAGAGCAGTCGAGGGAGGAAAGCATCCGGAGTTGGGTCTCCCTGATGTGTTTCTCTTTCCTCAGTTCACAGGACAGTGTCCGTGCAGAGAAGGCTTCACGGGACGGACGTGCTCTGCCATGCAGGAGCAGGTTTGCCCAGATAGGCACTTTGGAGATACCCGGGTAGGGTGCACGGGTAGGTAGGGAGCATCCATTTCATTTTGGCTTGATGTTGCTTAGCACCGTGAAATCATGGGTTATCTGGGAAAGAGCACCTGGCCCATGACCTGACATCAGCATTTCCCGTGTTATTTTGCAAGAGAAATTTCCTCTCTGGAACAGCTTCCTAGTTAATCCCTGTTGCTCTTCCCCATCTCCAGGTATCCACCAGTCCCCTCCCAGCAGCCTTGGGCAAGACCCTTGGCCGTGCCAGTCTGGCCTTGCAGGGTCAGGGTCTGGGTGAACGACTGGGTTTGGGTGCTCTTCCCGTTCCTCTGCCCATGCCACCTCCTTCCCAGATGCTGCAGGGGCTGATGGGTGGGGTTGGACTTCAGATTGTGTTGGCATCCCATTAGCAGGGTCTGATTTTATATATATATAAAAATTTATTCCCCCCCCTACTTCAGTGGGCTTCATCTCTATATCTCTCCACCTTTCCATCCCCCAGAGTGTGACTGCAACTTCCAGGGCACGGAGGACGTGGGGTGCGACAAGACCACAGGCCAATGCCTCTGCCGGCCGGGTGTCACGGGCCCCCACTGCGACCAGTGCCAGCGGGGCCACTGCAGCACCTACCCCGGCTGCGAGCTGTGCCACCCCTGCTTCCGTGCCTACGACGGGGACATCCAGCGCCTGCGCCTGCGCCAGGCCAGCCTCAGCAACTCCACCTCATGGCTACCCCTCGGGAGCGGGGGCTCCCGCTTCGGCCCCCGCCTCTTGCAGGCAGAGGGCAACGTCCAGCAGGTGCAGGGCATCCTCGGCCGCTCTTCTGTGACAGAGCAGAGCCTGGCCCAGGTGGGCAGCGCTCTTGCTGCGATCAGGTGAGGGACGGATGCTGCTAATGGGGTACATCCCTTAGCTGGGAGGGGATGCTGGCTTTTTTCTGTGTGCTCACTCCACTTGTCACACTGAGCTGCTTGCACGTGTTCTGCTTTGTTTCTGTAACTGAAAATCTTGCTCCATTCACGCAGTGACCAGGGATGCAAGAGAACAGCATGTCCACACATGCCCGTCCTGTGCAAAATGTTGCAAAGGCAGGATGCCGGTGGACAGGCTCCAGGCAGTCGGCGTCTTGCCCAGTCCCTGCGTGGGCATGGCCCCACCAGCTGTAGCCCAGCCCCGCTCTCCACTGCCTCTGCAGACCTGTGAGGCCACGGTGTGCCCTCGGCCATCAGCTCTCTGGGCTCAGAAGTGCCTCTTCACCGGGTGTTGGCAGCATCCCAGCACGAGAATACCCTGCTCTCCACAGGTGCTTTGCTCTCTACTTGAATTCACGTTTTCTGCTTTTTCTCTCCCAGAGAGCAGGTCCAAGGTATAAATCCTGACCTTCATTTTCTGGATGAGACTGCCTCTCTGTCGAGGGAGCTCGAAGCCCTTAACAGCAGCTTGCTTATCACTAATACCCAGTATCAGAGCAAGAAGACCCAGTTTGAAACCAGCCGCAGCACAGACCTGTCAGGTACAGTGCTGCAGCTGTAATATCTCTTAATTTGCAGCCATTAATTTACCTCAACGTGACTGTGCCTGGTGGTTTCCCACCAGCCGGGTAGATGAGATGGAGTTTTTAACCTGCTGTCAGCTTAGGAACAGCAAATACATCTTCCCTCCCCAATGAGAGAGGTGCTTTCTACCCAGCCCCTGGTCCAGGTTTTCATGCTATTGGGTTATTTGCTCCAGCATTTTGGGGCTGGGCGGCTCGCTCCACAGGCACCACATTCCCGTCCCCCGGCCAGCACAAACTCTGCTGCTGGGGCACAGCGTGGGCGGTGGGAAGGGGGGAGCCCCGCTGGGAGCGTGTCGCTGAACCCGGGAGGAAGCTGAGGTAATGAAGGTTGTGCACAGATGGAAGGGATGGAGGGGTGGGGAAGAGAGCCAGGCGGCTGTCAGGCGCTTGGGAGAGGAGCTAATTAAGCCCTGTGGTGATGCTGGTGGTAGGCTGCCATTATAGCCCTGCTACAGCTAATTCTCTCCAAGTGTCTCATTGCTGCCTCTCCCTCCCTGCTGCAGTGCATGGCTCAGCCGGCCAGGGATGTGCGAGCTGCAGCGAGCAGCCACTGCCTGGGCAGGGTCACTCTGCACCTCGCTGTCTGAGCAGGGCTTAGAGGTCCATGTCCTGACAGCTCTCCTTCCAGGCTGTGCTGGAGGGGAGCGGTGGGGTCTGCTTGGAAGCCAGGGAAAGGGCTCTGAAAGAGCCCTGTCCTGCCCTGCCAAAACCCTCCTGGGCTGCATGGAGCAAAGCCCAGGATCAGCATGTGCACGTCGTCTTGCTTTAGTTTTGTTTCAATCTTTTTGCCCCAACCCAGAGTTCAGTCCTTCAGGAAAGCTCTGTAGCTCACTGAAGGAATGGCTGAAAGGCTTCTGGAAATAAAAGGAGCTTTTTCATTGTGCCATAGTGACTAATCACTCCGGCTGTGTCTCCCTCCTCTCTGTGCACACATCCACTCGCGGGGTATAGTTAATGCCTTCGTTTAGGTAGCTATGCTGCATTTATGACTCACGGAGGCATTTGTGTCATTTATCGGTTTTATTCCTGCAGGAGCCTTCAAGACAATCAGATCTGCTTACCAGACATCTACCAATGCCAGCAGCCTCGTCGCCAGCGCCTCCAGGCTGCTGGCCGAGTCCCGGGAGAGCTGCAGGAGTGCCGTGGGGCTGGAGGGGGGGCTTGCGGAGTCCACCTCCAAGCTGCTGACCCTGAAGGGCGAGATAGCCTCATCTCCCAACCTGACCCCTGTCATAAACAAGGTGAAGATACAAAGTGGTTTTATGACTTCCCCACTGCCCACATCGAGTTTTCACGAGGGCCCTGTAGTGCTCAGGAGGCAGAAGTCTCATCCTGCAGTCATGCATCTTTCCTCAAACAGTCCAGCATGGCACAAGACAAAGTCTTTGTCCAGAGAGACTCATAAATGGCATCCAAGCAACCTGCTGTTTTGGGACATCAGTGGAGAATTGTCTGAGCACCCCTTGCCTGGGGATCACAGATACCGAAGCATTGCCCACCCCTCCCTCCCAAGCACACACTTTTTCCTCCAAGGACTTTCTCATGTGTCAGTTCTTGTATCTCAAAGACCCACTTAATTTCTGGGATGAGGTTTCTTTTATTTCTCCTTCACTGCTTTGTTATTGCCATGGAGATTCATTTCGGTGTCTCCTAATGCACGGTTGCTGTGGAGACCACCAACCTCGCCTCTCTGCTTTTCAGGGCACCAACACATTCTCAAGCAACCAGCCTGTGCAGGTGCTTGCACTGGCTCTGGGTTTGCATGTGCCCCTGCTGCAGTGCGCTCTTTGGTGGGTGGTAACTCCAGAAGATGCCTGGACATCAGTGGTTTTAATTGCATGGCAAGAGGGCAGGGTCTTCTCATTCCATTCTCTCTCCCAAAACAAATCGCACAGGTTGGACAGGGTTCCCCTGCCACAAGGGGAAGAGTTGTCCTGAGAGTAAATGAGATGTTTGCTCCGTGCAGACCTGCACTGTTACTCTTCATGAGCCGCTGGGGTTTAGCTCCTGCTTTGCTCTTGTTTATGCTCCAGCTTGGGGTGGTGAGGAGATGCAGACCTTGTGTTGCTGTCTCAGGTGTGGGCATTCAGCGCTGCCGTACATGTGTGTAGCTCTGGCTGCCCTTCCCCGACACAGTCACGGTCTCTGGTCATTTGGGCTGTGCCGCATGCATTGCCATCAGCCCCGTCGGGAGGGCTGGCTCCGTCGCTGTTCCCGTGCGGAGCCCTGCAGCACCAGCACAGCAAGTTCCCCAGCTCCCTTGGCAAGGGTCTGTCGAAACTTTGGCCCCTGTGATGTGCTGCTTTGCCTCCCTGAGGGCACTGAGGTCTCGCCAGTGAGGCGAGTGCCCTCGCTGCCCCACCGCTCTCTCCCTTTCCAGATCTGCGGTGGCTTCCGAGTGGAGACGTGCACGCCTGCCCGCTGCGAGCGGCTGCTCTGCCCGCGAGACAACAGCACTGCCTGTGGGGCTGGCCGCCCCTGCCGCGGCATCTTCCCGCTGTCGAGCGGGGCCCTCGCCACGGCTGGGGAAGCTGCCAGGGAGTTTCGCAGCCTGAGCGCCCGGCTCAGGGAGACGGCGCAACTGGTGAGTGTGGGCAGCACTGCCTGTCCTGCGGCCGAGCCCCACGCTCGGTCCTTCGGTGTCGTAGCAGCAGAGCCTGGGGGGACAGCTGTGGAAAGAGCGAGCTGTGATAAAATACCCAATCTCAACCTCCATTTGAGGCTTGATCTTTTGGACAGCTGCAGAAATTCAGGAATTTTTGAGTGGGAGACTTCCTGCTGCATGCGTGGATCCTGCCTCCCCCCAGCACAGGAGCCACAGAGCCGAAGGCATGTGACCGGCTCTGGAAATGTCACAGGGAAGCCTGTCCTCCTCCTGGTTTGGGATTAGCGTGTCAGAAGGGGTGGGGATGTGGAAACCCCTCTGAATCCACAGGTGTACCTGCTCTAACATTTGATGCAATCTAGAGTGTGCGTGTTAGTGCTGTTGCAGCTTCTTTCTGCAGCCTCTCGGGTGCTTGCAAAGATAAAGCGAGTTTCCAAACTCGTTCAAAATCCATTTCAAAGGTGTTTTGAAAAGCTGAACAGTACTGCCCCTGTTTGAGAGCTTCCCTTACAAATCTGGGGGATTTGCATCTTTAACATTTACAGTCCTTTAAAGCAGTGGCATATTAAGAATGGGGAACAGCATAATTTCAAAGTGCCTTGCCCAGTTCACTCAGAGTTGAGGTAGGGCTGCTGGGATTCCAGGTCAAGAAGAAATGGCTCCATCAGGATATTGTTGTTTGCAGATTAAAACGACAGAGACATCTGCAAATCAGATTCAAAGCAATACTCGGCGGCTTGCGGACCAGATGAGCGTAACAAGGACCCAGATAGAAGGAGATCTCCGGCGCATCCAGCAGTTCATCCAGCAAGTCCGAAACTTCTTGTCAGGTAGCGCTCTGCAAGCTGTAAAGTATGTCTGTGCAGGTTGACTAGTGCACAGAAAAAACTAATTTTTACAGTGATATTATGTATGAGAGTGCAATACAAGGGAGTCAGCTGAATAGCTCACCCCAGTTAAACTCTCGGATATCCAGTTTATCTGTACATGGGTATTTACGTAGCAAAGGTAACGCACACCCTTGAGACGGCAAGTGGATAGTGTTTTCTGAAACACATGGATAGTGTTTTCTGAAAAACGGAGAAGGCATTTCAGCAGTGCAAAAGTCCGAGATTTTGTCAGGAGCTGCAGTTTGGCCAGCTGACTTGCTCAGGCTTGGCTGTGCTGTTCAGATTGACCCAAATTAATCCTGGCTGTTTCATCTGTGTTGACTTTCCTGGGATGTCACCAGGGCACACCCTGCCTCCTTCCCTCTGGGGATGTTTGGGGTCCATCTGTGAGGTCCGTGGGGCAGGAGGTATCGCCACAGCCTTGACTTCTGTGCGCAGGGCTTCGTGGAGGGGTCTCGCAACATCCCCCCATGAACTGCTCTAAAAAAATGAACTGAATTAACATAAGTGGAAAGCTGTGGAGGAGACGGTCTTTTGTCTGTAGCACGGACAACAGCTTGCTCTGGGTCCTGCTCTCTGCCGCAGAGCCTTGTGCCATCGCTAGGGCTCAAGGACAAACCTATCCCTGCAGCCGGTGCTCTCCGAGGATTTGCAGTCGGCACTGACCCAATGCAGAAAAGTTTACCGGCAACACTCACTGACCGGAGATAAACAGACAAATCTTCTCTGGAGCAGACTATTAATCAGATGAGAATTCCTCATTGTCCTATAAACCAATGGGATGACTTATTGTTTGCAGACACATTGTAATAATACAATGAGCCTCATGAGCATTAGCTGAATAAGAAAATCAGGTCATTTAGTGCTGCCTGGTGTTAATGATGAGTGAAGATATTTCTGAGCTAATCGCTGGGCTAATGTCCCTTGGGCTTTGCCTGCCTCTGATTCCTCAGTTTTATTAACCTTTATTTGTGAAATAAAAAGAGGCTTGTCTTGAAACACAGCCTCATCTGCTCAGTGAGGTTCACCTAACTGCTCTGGGCTTAGCCATGGTGTTATCGTCACCAAAGTAAAGGTATCATTTCAGTACTTTCCTGAAAGTTTTGCTGATGTGAATGAGAAGTACATTAACTTCAAGGGGATTAAATTCAGGGTGGATCCTGGCAGCTGTCTGAAATGAAGAGGCTGTGTGCGTGAGAGCATGCGTGGCTGGACGCCTGCCCTCATCCTCCCTTGCATTTGCACTCCCGCCTTTCCTCTCTCCCGTTTCTGACGCCGTCTGTCTGTTTGCTCTGTAGACAAGGACATGGACCCTGCCACTATCCAGGAAATCAGTGAGTCTGTTCTCTCCCTGCGTCTCCCCACGGATGCTGCTGCAGTCCTGAGAAAAATGACTGAGATCCAAAATTTGGCAACTAAGCTGCAGTGCCCAGAGAGCATACTTGCCCAGACGGCCGAGGACATC